ATTTAACATTGATAACTACCTTCGAATTCTTCTACCAAAATACCTAGGTCTATCCTATGTAATTGATAATATATTTTCACATTTAAAAGGTGTCGAGCATATTAACAGAAGATCAACAGGTATTCATTCCTTCCTATTTCCCTTACTTCCAACTGGACTGTAAACTCAAGTGTACAAAGTTGTCATTTTTTTCTAATCCTCTGCACAATAGTATAGAACTGAATTCATAGTAGGTCACCCCCTATCCAAAACTATTTCTGAGAGGAAATAAAGGGATAAGACATAATCTTTAAAACATGCAGTTGAAAAATAATCTCAATCTAGCTATACAAAATAAGATTTTTCTATTATTCCACCTCTAATTTCCAACTCAGAATTGCTACAATCTCCTCATTCAGGAGGTACTAACCTGTACTCATGACATCACAAACGTAGTTTTGTAATGAACTACAAGCGGGGGTGGGGCGGCAGGAATAAAGTAAAGCAAGTCAACTAAAAGAACAGTGGTTAAAGTTGTTTTTGGTTTTTGTTCTTTTTTTACTTCTTACAAGTATATACTTCCTATTCCTTTTTTGTTAATTTACCATATTTTCAAAGAAGAGAAGGAAAAATCTAACAGACTTTCAGTGAAGCTGCTATCTAAAGGAGCCTCTACAGATCCCAAGACCTTTGAGAAAACCATCTTAATCTTCAAATGCAGCATAATGCAGTGAGATTCCTCCAGATATTGTGAGTAAAAGGCTCATTCAGGCTGGAACATCATCTACCAATCATTCTTAGGCATGAGGCAGACAGTCTGAGAGGCCACACTGGACCTACTCAGATTCTGAAAAGAAATTAGTTTACATTAATATACTCAGGATAGTCCAGTCTTTTTTTGTTTATTTGGTTTTTTGGGGTAGGAGGAGGTACCAGGGATTGAACTCAGGGCCACTCAGACACTGAGCCCCATCCCCAGCCCTATTTTGTATTTTGAGACAGGGTATCACTGAGTTGCTTAGCACCTTGCTTTTGCTGAGACTGGATTTGAACACGCTATCCTCCTGCCTCAGCCTCCTGAGCAGCTAGGATTACAGGCGTGGACCACCTCATCTACCTGGATAGTGTAGTCTTAATTATCCACAAATTGATTATTCACCTTGTGGATTTCTAAGGCCAAATCTTTAATTCAAGATTATCTGCTATTTGCCATCATTGTATTCTTACCATCAGGTAAAACTGTTTTAGAAAAGTAAATCTCATTTCAACTTCACTAAAATCCTAAGATAAATCTGGGTTAAAATATAATGCATTTTCAAAAGCAAGAAATTTCTTAAATTCTGAATTTCTATACCAGTGTTCCCTATGTTAGTAGCAGTAATTAAGAGTTAAATGTACTTTGAAATATAATGCCCTCCTTACCATAAGCTCTTGAGAACCCAGCCATAGTCTTAAGATTTCCCCACAAGTTGGTTCACTGTTCGATGGGCACAAGCAGAAATCAGCAGAGTAAGGTGTGTAAATACAAAAACTTCTACGAGGAATCTTATATCTCCTTGCTGCATCCCTTCAAGCCAAAATGGTACAGAAGAGAAGCAGAAGAGTCACGATGTACCGGTGCCCGCCTGACTCCTTGTCCCTGAGTTCCTGGACCAAAGGGCTGAATACTTCTCATTAAATTCATCCTTTGTTCAAGGACCTACAATGACTCTATTGACCCTTCTATCAACATCCAACAGTCTGGCCTCTGAGTCCTTCCACCCTCTTGCCTGTTCTACCCATGACCTGACCAACCCATATTCTCATTCTCATGACCCCCCCCCACACACAATTTAGTCATTCACACCATCATTGCACTCTGTAAATTCTATAATTTCTATTTGGATGATCCTTTCTTTTCTTCCTAACACCAAAAAACTGTTTCATTTACTTGAATGTTCATATTCATTTTACAGATAGAGAAGTAACTCGTCCAAGGTCACATTGTAAAAAAAAAAAATCAAACCAAGATTTCAACCAAGGTTTGTCTGATTCCATAGTCTATACCTCTTTATGACTAATCCATAGCCTCCCAAGTCCATTTCAAAATGTACTAGTTCAGTAATCGCCCCTGGTTTATCTAATTGTTACTTCACGTTTTGTCAGCCCTTACAAACTTGTAGCACATTAAACTTGGTTTTGTTAATATGCTGTTTCCTAAATGTTAAAGCTTATGATAGCTTAATTTAAAAGAAGAAAAAGTCCTTTCTATATTAAAAAAAAAAAAAATCAACATAATTCAAGATTCCTTTCAATACACAATGGGGGAGGGGCGGTTAGGGATGTTGAATCCAGAAGTGCTTTACCACTGTACCACATCCCCAGTCCTTTATATTTTTTTGAGACAGGGCCTCACTAAGTTGATGAGGCTGGCCTTCAACTTGTGATCATCCTGTCTCAATCTCCCATACTGCTGGGATTATAAGTAGGTGCCCTGGCCCCAGTTATACAAATGTTTAATTATTTGAATTTATCAGGAGCCACTGAGAAAATTCCAGTCTGCTATTCCACAGCTTCTAAGTTCCCATAAGAAGGATGTTACTGAGGTCACATTTCAAAGCATGATTAGAGGGTCTTTCCCTTCAATGGGGTAAGTGGGTAAAGGAAGGCGTATTTCCCTATATATACACAGAAACAGACTCACTGTTATTGGCCTCTGCCATTTTCCTTTAGCATGCTTGAGATATTCAGGAACTCCAAAATTTTAATAAGTGGTACATAGAGTCCCCATAATAATGTGGAAACATTTTTAATATTGAAGTATTCCACCATAACCTTTTAATCATACCCCGTAGATTAATATATGCAGTTCAGCTAAGGGAAGTTACAAGATACAGATATAAGCCGAATCTACACATATTGGCACCAACCAACTCATGGAGAATAAAGCAAGACACTGGGAGAGTATAGTGATTTTAAAAAATGAGATTTTCGTCTCTAAATGAAATCTTTTTTTCACCAAGCAAACAAGGTGACAGGGGTAGATACTAAGCAATTAATGATTCAGAACACTTTTAAGGTGTTGATGACAAAACACCAAATTCTAATAATTAGCATTTATTCCTGGTCATCCTGCCTTACACAAGTTATCATATAGCCCTTTCTTTTTTTAATATTTATTTTTTAGTTGTAGTTGGGCACAATATCTTTATTTTTATGTGGTGCTGAGGATTGAACCCAGGGCCTCACACGTGCTAGGTGAGCGCCCTACCACTGAGCCACGACCCCAGCCCCTCATATAGCTCTTTCTTTGGCAAAGTTTATTTATTTATTTATTGAGGGAGACTTTGGTATTAAATGAAAGGGATAAATCAAATCTGGCAACACCAACAAAAATCAGTAATAGTTTGGAAACTTTCATTTTTCCTTCTTGCTTTAATATGTAATGTCCAAAGAAATATTTGTTCAATTCTGAATTATGCATGCTAATGGATAATTATTGGCAGAAAGGTGCTGATAATCCAAAATGGGAGGAAAGGCTTTTTTAAAATCTATTTTGGTTTTGAAATATGTTTTCAGCATATTTATCTTCTCAATTATTCTTGGTATGATCTAATATTTGTATTCATTTGCAATGTCTAAGTACATAGTAACTGGCCACTTAGTCTAGGAGGTGCTCTGAGGCATGCCAGTTTGCTAGTGGAAATGAAGACTGCTTTTCAGCCTATACATGAGTAACATCAATTTAATTTACTTTATAGTTCTGTTCAGCTTTCAAAAAAATCAATAGACTAACACACACCAGCTTGGTTACTAAATTTTAAAAGACCTGCTTGAAAAAAAAAGAACAAAGAATGTAATTAATTCTTCACTGTTTGTCTATAATGTATTCATCTGTAAATTATGCACAGCAAATGTTTAACTACAAGTCTGAGTCTGATTCTCCCTGGCCACCCAGCCTAATTCCCTGCAGACTTCTCTACCCCATCAGGAATGTAATGTCAACTTAAGTTATATACCATAAAAACGTCTTTAAAATATTGCGGGACTAAGTACTCTTTGGGGCTAGTCCCACCACTACCTCTTCTCTCTACACCAATCTTTCCCACCTTTGAAATCGGTCCCGAAAGACAAAGGGATTCAGTTTCCTCAACGACCACCTAAACACACAGTAGAAGCCAACGACTGAAAAATCACCAGCCTCTGGTTTTCTAAATAAAGCATTTGATACCGTGCTTATAAAAAGATAGGGGAAATAAGTCAAAATGCTGCTAATTCTTGGCTTTGCAGTCTTAAAAAGAAAACTCCCGGCAAAGTTCTGGGAGGACTTCTTAAAATCTCACCAGTCAGCTTCTCCCAACTGTGCGATGTCTCCGTCGGGGCTGCGCCCAGACGAGCCGGGAGGTCAGACGGGCACCGACCCTCGAGGCGGGAGAGGAGCGCCGGTGCCCGCGAGCCGAGGGCTAAAAATACGCCGGGCGGTAAACAGATCCCCTCCCTCGCCAGCCGCCGCTAGCCCGGCAATTACGCGAGGAGTGAGATCACGCAGCCCCGCTTACTCATCCTCAGCCTCTAAAGTTTCCACCGTCACGGCCACTTTCCTTTTTCTCAAGTTCAAGAGCCGGCCCGAGTGCCCCCGGCGCCTTTGCCGCCCCTTCCTCCATTACGGCTCGCACCTCAGCCCGGCCCCGGAGCGGCCGTCTCCCCTCCCAGCCTGCGGGATCCCGGGGCTCGGAGCGCACTCCAGCCCGGCAGGAGGGAGCAGCCCGCACCTAACCGCCCTAAACTCCTCCACCTCCCCAAAGTCCGCTTGACAGGCGGGGACCGTCCCAACCGCCCGGCCCGCTCGGGGAGAGGCCGGCGGGGGAGGGACGCCGCGCTGCGCGCAGGTGAGACCCGGCGGGAGGGGACGGGGGGCCGGGAGGCGGCCGCAGGTGAGGCGCGGTCGGAGAGGAGGGGCGCGCAGTGCGGGGCAGAGGGCCGGGCGTGGGACCCGGGGGGGCGGGCGGGGCGGGAGGGAGGCGGGCTGGGGGCTCCGTTACCCTCGCGACTCCCGGGCCAGGCCCTAGGCCGGGGCGGAGCGCGGGGCCCGGCCGCCGCTCCTCATTCCTCGGCAGTGACCCCGGGGTCCGACCGGCCCCTCCCCCGACGACGACGGAGGCGGACGCGGTGGCGGACACTGCGACCGCGGCTGTCGCTCCGCACAGGATCTGGAGCCGAAGCCAAACGGGACTGATCAGGACTGGCCTCTCCCAGGGGCTTTTTGCCTGCCCCACACCCGGCCGCCGCTCCGACTCCGGCGGCTGGTTCAGGATCGGTGGCTTTCGGCCGTCCGGCCGGAAACCAGCGCCAGTTTCCGGCCGGAGCGGGTTGGTGGTGACACCCAAGCCGCCCCCGGGCCTCCTCCCGCCCCGCCCCGCCCCGCCCAGTAGCAGCCCCGCCTTCAGCGCCGCTCCCGGGGCTGTGGCTGATTTGGCGTTTGCCCTGCGAGTGACCCGGTGCCTTCCTGCCCTGCCTTCCTAAAGCCCCTGGACCGAACGTCTTGAATAGGAGCTGGAGGGTATAGGGTAGACTTTTGAGAATTTTGAGTAGAGTGAACTGGCTCCAACCCTTTGGGAAGGAACAGAAAGGGGTAGGGTAGTTCTAGAAAGGTGAGAGGATGGAAATACTTTAGAAAAAAAAAAAGTGAGATTTTAGTTACTCTACACATATCGCTTCTCGGCCTTTTGGCTAAGATCAAGTGTAGTTACTCTACACAATCACCTGGACAGCGCTTCTTCCAAAACAGCCTCCACCCAGTTATGCATTTCCCCTGTTCCTGTGCTCTTGAAGTGAACATACCTTTCTCTATAAACACTTAATATTTACTTGCGTAACAACGATACCCTGTTGAAACATCTGCTTTAGAATGTTAGCACAATCAACAAAAGTTATGTCGCACTTTGTGCTTGTAATAGCTTTTACAGCATTACAGCATAATTCGACTCAAATATTTATTGAATTCCTACTACGTGTAATGCAATGCGCGCAATGATATTGTGGAGGTAAAAATCAACAGTACATAATTCCAGTCATCGAAGATTTTACAATTTAGTAAAATATATAAAACTTTCACATAAGGCAGAACTCACATATGTGCTATGTGAGTTACAGTAAGTTATGAATTTGAGAACATAAATAAGCCATCTGTGCCACATAGTAGAACTTCCACATTTGTTAAACGAATAAATAAACAGGAGAATGTGGAATGTTTCAAATAAGAGGCGTTGAATAATTATCTATGACAAAACAGGACCAGCTCCTGTTACAATACAACCAAAGTAATCCTAAATTCTAATTCATATTCCTAACATTATGGCACCTGGTCTGCATATTCAAGACAGTGTTTATTGTCTCAGTTGTGCTCCTTAGGCCTAGGTAAAATAAATATTACAGTTAACTTCTCCTTCCTCTCACTACTTCCTGCAGTTCAGTTTCTGACACCTGAAAAAGGAAACTTCCTAGACAGTAATGACTCTTCAGAATACTCTGAAGTTTAAAAGTTGAAGATTGCTGGGCATGGTGGCACATGCCTGTAATCCCAGACACTCGGGAGTCTGAGGCAGGAGGATAGAAAGTTCAAGGCTAGCCTCAGAAACTTAGTGAGGCCCTAAGCATAGCAAGAGGTTCTGTCAAAATAAAAAGTAAAAAAGGTCTGGAGATGTAGCTCAATGGTAAAGCACCCCTGGGTTCAATCCCCTGTGCAAAAAAAAAAAAAGTTGAAGATTTAAGAATGAATGGGCCTAGAGTCATGCTTACATATCCAGATCAAGCAAGTCAGAGTGCTTGGCATGGGACATGTACAGAGCCTTCAATACAGGCTAACAAACAGAGACATTGGACCTTGGTTTAAGTATTTAAATGGGGAACCACAAAATTTGGCCACTGTTCAGTGGCAAATATAAGGAGGAGAGTAAGACAAGATTAGTTATCTATGCTGATTCTAACTGAACTCCATTGCCACCCACCCCTTACCAGTTAAATTTGAGGTAGGAGGGCAGAATGAGAAGCTCAAAATTCTGAAAGCCATTTACTAACACTGCCACAGACTCATGAAGACCAGGAATGAGCTGTGCACAGTGGCACATACCTGTAATCACAGCAACCCAGGAGAATAAGACAGGAAGACAGCAAGTTCCAGGTCATCCTCAGCAACTTAGCAAGACTCTAAGCAACTTAGTAAGTCCCTGTCTCAAAATAAAAAAGGTTAAAAAGGTTGGGAATGTAGCTCAGTGGTAAACACCTAGGAGTTCAATCCCCAGTACCAAAAACAAACAAACAAACAAACCAGGTATGGAGTTCAAAGGCACTCTCTCTCTACCCTCAGCACAGGCAGACTCTTTCTTTTGGCAGGATCCATGAAAAGTTTCCAGATTCAAAAACTGGGCCAAGATGCTGGTCCAAGTTATTTAAGTGACCACACATTATAATCCTGCCTGGAAATTTAGGGACCAGGAAGTGATGGGTTTGCAGTTGCTTTGTGCCTATTTCTTGCTCTGACCATCCATCACTCATTGTTGTTTGTGCAATTGCTCAATGGGCTGCTTGTCTTTGGTCAGCCCAGGCTGTGTGGGTAGCAGTGTGGTCAGCTGGGCTGGGAGCCAGGCCACCTGGGTTCTGGTCCCAGCTCAGCCAACCCCTAATCCATTAATTGACTCCCTTCCTATGCCTATGCGTCTTTCTCTCCCTAGAAACTAGAGGCCTCCTCTCTAGTAGTGTACAGCCATTTAGGCTGTCACTATATAGATGCGTAAAAGGAGCTGTCTGATATAAATGTCACAGCAGCCTGAACACAGATGATTATTTTTTGCCCCAGGTGAAATTATAATAGTACAGAAAGAAAGAAAAAAAAAAACAGCAGAAAAAATCCTACCAGTATACACAGTGTACACCCTCAACTGCTATCAGGCTCAAAGTTCTTTTCCACCGTAATGGCCTGTCTTTGTTTACTCTTCTTAGCAATTCTAAGTTTGCTTCAAGGATCTCCCTGACCTTTTACTTGACTTTAAGCAACAGCAAAAAAAAAACACAACTTTGCATTTCACCAGAGGAACTAAAAAGAGAAATATATTAATACCAGGACTAATGGATAGAATAGGGGAAAATGTTCAGACAAAGTTATGTTGCTGCTGTCCAGAGAAAATAAAAAAAGAGAAAAATTACGTGCATTTATATGCTTTTGTGGTGGGGGAAAAAAACAAACCAAAATAACTTCCTTTCCACCACCACCACTATAATTTAGACCAGTGGTTCTAAGGAGTTTTTAAAACTATGTACTATACATACCTAGAAACCTCAGATTAACTCAGAATTCTTGGGATTGAAGATCATGCAATAAAAAAAATTTTATATATATATATATATATATATATATGTTTATATTTATATTTAAATCCAGGGTTCTTCTTAAAGGTAAACACCTTCCTGCCCTTTGGCCAGCAAGTTTACTTCTAGGTATTTACTTACCAGAAATGAAAATATATGTCCCTGAAAACTTATACATGAATATTCATAATAGTTTCATTTATAATAGTCACAAACTGGAAATATCTCAGATGAACATAAACAGAAAAATGGAAACCTGCATTGATCATACCATGAAATACATTTTAAAAAAATAACCAACCTTTAAACACAACAATATGGATGAATCTCAAAATCATTTGTTGAGGGCCAGGGGTGTAGCTCAGTTGTGAGCATTTGCCTAGCATGCATGAGGCCCTGGGTTTGATCCCAGCACTAAAAAAAAAAAAAAATTTGTTTTCAGGGAAAAAAAAATTATATGACATTCAAAAACACGCAATCAGTCTGTTAGAAATCAGCCCTTTTTACCAATGGGAGGGGTGAAGAGTGAATGATTGAATAGAAGGGACATGAGGGAAATTTCTGGGTTGGTAGAAATGCTCTGTATATCTTGATAAGGGTACACATACATCAAATTGCATACTTAAGAATGGTGTGTGTCAAAACTCAACTCTAAATGGATCAAGGACCAAGGCATTCGACCAGAGACCCTGCACTTACTAGAAGAAAAAGTAGGCCCAGCTCTCCAACATATCAGCTTGGAAACCAAATTCCTCAGCAAAACTCCTAAAGCGCAAGAAGTAAAATCAAGAACTAATAAATGGGATGGTATCAAACAAAAAAGCTTCTTCACAGCAAAGGAAGCAATCAAGAACATGTACAGAGATCCTACAGACAGGCAGAAAATTGTTACCACCAGTACCTCAGATAAGGCATTAATTTCTAGAATATACAAAGAACTCAATAAGTTAATAAGTGGGCAAAGGAACTAAACAAACACTTCACTTAAGAAGAAATCTGAGGGCTGGGGATGTGGCTCAAGTGGTAGCGCGCTCGCCTGGCATGCATGCGGCCCGGGTTCGATCCTCAGCACCACATACAAACAAAGATGTTGTGTCCGCCAATAACTAAAAAATAAATATTAAAAAAAAAAAATTCTCTCAAAAAAAAAGAAGAAATCTGAAAGGTCAAAAATATATGAAAAAATGTTTAACATATCTAGCAATTAGAGAAATGCAAAATAAAACTACTTTAAGATTCCATCTCCAGTCAGAATAGCAATTATAAAGAATACAAATAACAGTAAATGTTGGTGAGGACGTGAGAGAAAGGGTACACTCAGACATTGCTGGTGGGAATGCAAATTGGTGCAACCACTCTGGGAAGCAGAATGGAAATTCCTCAGAAAACTTGAAATGGAACCACCATTTGACCCAACTATCCCAGTCCTAGGTTTATACCCAAAGGACATAAAATCAGCCTACTACAATAACATAGCCACATCAATGTTTATAGCAGCTCAACTCACAATAGCCAAGCTATAGAAACAAACTAGGTGCCCTTCAACTGATGAATGAATAAAGAAAATGTGGTATAGATACACAATGGACTATTATTCAGCCACAAAGAAGACTGAAATGGCATTTGCCGGTAAATGGATGGAACTGCAGAATATCATGCTAAGTGAAATAAACCAGTCCCCAAAATACCAAAGGTCAAATGTTCTCTCTACTTTGTGGATGCTAACCCAAAACAAGGAGGTTGGGAGGGGAATAATAGAAATCCACTGTATTAGACAAAGGAAAATAAAAGGCAGGGACAGGGAAGGGGATAGGAAAGACAGTAGAATTAATCCGTGGTAAATTTCCTACCCTTGTATTTGTGTACAGACCAGAGTAACTTCACATCTTGAACAACCACAAGA